GCATTCAGTAAATCCATAAGGTTTCTCGTAACTTCTCGGATGGAACCAGTCTAAAGAAATAAAACAAAAAACACAGAAAAAGTTGTATTTGGTTATACAGCAAATGAGAAACACCTACAAATTGAAAAAAATTTGTAATTGGCTTGCACATTTATTGAAATTTATCAAGTCCAAGGCCTACAAAGCACTTTACACAACAGCCACACCCTTTTCACATGCTTACGGTGGTGATAAGCCAGATAGTAGCTACAGCTGCCCTGGGGCACACTGACAGAGGCGGGCCTGCTGAACACTGGCACCACCGGTCCCTCCGACCACCAACAGCAGGCAAAGTTGGTTAAGTGTCTTGCCCAAGGACACAACAGCAGCACTCTCTGGTTGGAGCTGGGATGGAACCTGCTGTTTATCTGGCCCTGACCCACGCCTGTTCCCTGACCATGCACCAACCTGCTTCCCTGGATTACCATGATAATTTCAGGACTAAACTTTTATTACACATTTTCTTATTTTTTGGTGTCATTACAGGTCCTCCACCTCAGCCATTACATTCGTCTTCCTCTACATCTTCCGTGGTGTAACATGCAACAGTGAATTGTGCTGCATCACGGTACCACACTGTGTAATACAACATTTCGCACATTTCACAGAAAACAAATGTTAGTTCACTTACACCAGAAATACAACCTTACTCATTGCTGAGACTTAGAAACAGAAACTGTTTTTGTTTTGTTGCTGCTTATGTAACCCCAGACTCAGTATTAGTAAGTTAGGATCATTATGTTTAAAGACCAGCGGCTAGGTTGGACTGGATTACAAAAAGAAATAATGCGAGTGCAAAATGAAATGGCAGGAGGCAGGAATTGAGCAAAAATAGAAATTGTTATTTTGTTGGGGAAATGACTACTGGATTACACTCACTTAACATAGCATTAATATTTTCAGAAACCTACCCACAGATTGAAAGCTAGCTGATGCGCCAGTCAAGGCAGGTGTTGTGTCAAAATGTGTTTCCCTATCAAAAACGGTTTTCTCCTACTAGCCTGGCAAGCCAGACTAAATAAATGTATTATTTCATTCATTCTTTGCAAAGCAAGCATTTGGTCTAGTTCACTAGGCTAATCTCCTACGACTTTGGTCAAAATTTTCCATCATTCAATTATAACGCGCGTCTTACTTTGATGACCCATTTTGTTCATTACAGCGCGAGAAAAACATTGTGATATATTTATGTCGAT